GGGGATTCCCATCACACAAATGGTTCCGTCAATGGGAGTTTAAAAGTGATGAGACTGTACAATTTTCATAGACAACTAAAACCTCAATATTTCATAATAGGAGTGAAGTTCTCTGTTAGAATCATATCTCACTTATAGCCGGATAGGGAAATTAAAAAGAGAAAGTTCTACAAGCTGCCGTGTATTAATCGATTCATTGAATTCATTTGAGCGGTTTGAATATTAAGAAACCAATGAAAATGACGAACACGTGAATGTCAGGAAGTGTCACTGAAATGAAGTTTTCATCTCACCCATTAAGTGATCATAAGAACGTAAGTGGTGTAAACTTCCTCTCCATTGTGACAATCATAAAGATATACCTTTTTTTTGGATACTTGTGAGTTATCACAACTGGATCAGTCCCCATAACAATGTTGCAAGAAAATATTTGTTTTGAAAATATTCCCATTCTGAAGACGTGAGGTCAAAACAATTGCGTGTAAAATAGTGCCACTGCATTTATTTTATTTTGAAAATATTCCCATTCAGAAGACGTGAGGTCAAAACAATTGAGTGTAAGATCGTGCCACTGCATTTTGAAGGGATGATACGATGAGCTGTTGAGTGATTTTTTTGGTTGAAATCAGATAGCAGTAAATGTGAGTTAATAAGAAAGTGCAACATTCCTTTAAAATAATTGCTTATAACTTTAAAAATCAATTGTATTTCGGATGCGAGAAACAGTAAATTAACCTAATCCCTTAAAAGATTATCGGTTATGACAATTAAATAAAGCAATGGTGTTTGAATATTTTAACACTTGAGTACCTTAAAAGGTCAAGTATTAGGCTTGGAGTGACGGAATTCTAATCTTGCTCTAAAGAAGTTAACCTAACACCCACGTTCTCAATATCATAAAGAACTGCTACAGTGACGATACCTCAGAAAAATGCAGCACAAAAATAATGGCGAAACACACTCTAACGATTTCAACTCATCCACCATGATGTCATTCATAAAATTATGCAAAAAGGTTTCATTATCTTTTTACAGATGAATCGCGCACAATGTATGAACTAAATTCTATAACTCCTTATCTCTTTCAAACAATCATAGCCTGACATTGATGAAACATTTCATTTATTTTTAAGTGCTAATGAGGTTTACCTTAGAATTCTTCCAGCAAAGAAAGAGACATTTTTTAAACTAGAAGAGCAAGCTTCACGCTTATTTCGACCTAATCTTTGTGAATTCGAACTTCCTATGTTAATTCACGCAGGGAAATACATATGCTGTATTCCAGATTATCTTCCCCTATGAGTATTGTGAGACTACCGGGAAATACGGTTGTCTTCCAGCATATTCTCATTACATGTTTAGTTTCTAAGAAACAGGCTGCTCTTTCTTTCAGAACACGCCTCCGGCCGCTTCCAAAAATATAGTTGTACTGTCTTCTAGCATATTCTCATCGCGTCTATGGTTCCTACGACTTAACATAGGAAACTGCTGTATAAATACAGGTTCGATTCATTGAGATTTCTTCAATCTACAACTGTGCTACGTGTACATTTCGAGATCTACAGCTTTAAGGTTGGGAGAGAAGTTTCATCGTATCATGTCTGTTTCACAAAATTACCTTCAACCCGTGCGGCTCCGATAAGTTGCAAAAATAACAGCAGAAAATCCGAGAAATGTGAGTAAGAATCTATGCTTTCATGATGACTCTTGGATTACATTAATTTCCTTGAATACGACGGCTGATCACATATTGGCAGAACGTTTCTCTTGGTTAGCGTTACGATTCAGAGATTCCTTGCGAAGAACAACTCTACTTGCACTGTAGCGTCCTCCATGAGTTCAGAACTGTCAAAAAAAAACTGAACTGACGATCGTTTACTCGTTGCATTTTTTCTATTACTTTATTTTCTATTATTTTTTCTTATCCTCGCTTATTCCCATTCCCTGATACTCGTAACCGATAAGAAAAATTTCATTTTTTATCCCTTAACAGTTAAGAACTGTGATGAACGTTACAAGTGCGGTCAAACCATCAGTGGCGTTTATGCAATCGACCCTGATGGTTCAGGTGTCTTTAATGTCTATTGTGATCAGACAACAGACGGTGGAGGATGGACAGTGATCCAGAAGAGGGTGGATGACACCGTAGATTTCAACCGGACTTGGAAAGACTATAAAAATGGATTTGGTGATTTTCTCATTCGTGACTTTTGGCTCGGACTAGACAAGATCCATCGCCTGACGCAAAACAAAACAGAAAACAAACTCCGCGTGGATCTAGGAGTAACTGCCAACAAAATTGTCTACGCACAGTATGAATGGTTTGGTATTGAGAATGAGACAAATCGTTACAAGCTGCACATTGGCAGTTTTTCGGCATGTACGGTCAATTTACTCTTTCCTAATCAATGCACTTTTTCATAAACGACAGTTGCTATCACCTCCCTTACACAGGGTGGATCTCAAAACGTATGTCTCCTAAACGACTGTTTGCCTTGAGAATATCAGTGTGATTCATATCTGGTTATGCATATCAAACTCATGAGACTAACCCTGAAAAACTAATTTACTTGAGAGTTGCCTGTGATTTGGTGGCATAGAATCAATCAGGTGACACGGGGACCTGGGGTGTATAGGAAATTAAATAGTGGTCGGATTTGATTCAGTA